CAGCGTCCAGTAAGAATTCCGGCGATTCTCGACTTCAATTGAAAGATATTAGCTCGCCAGTAGGTGACCGTTGTGTGTTAGGCGTGCGTTTGAGTTTGTCTCCGGCTGCTGAGAGCAGCGATGGAATGGTTAGTTAGTCAGGAGGTGATCGTTCGGGCAACATTCAGCCCAGCCAGTGTCACGCATGGCAAAATACACGGTTAAAATACACATGTTCACCCTATTGAGACCAGTTGTTATGGTGGAAACTTTGGCCGCTTTGCGGGACGGGAAAATATCATCAGATCGGAATGAAATTTTGCACAGAACCTTGTACCATAGTATCGACAAGAATTCCGACCCGGCCCGACGAATCCGACAAACTTTTTTTTTTGCCATGAAAATGTGGACCACCCTAGTAGACATGCATGTTTGTGTTAGTAATTAACATTACTTAATGCTATATCCTAATATATTCAAACATGTATCAGTTAGGTTAGTGTATGAATAACGAAATACAGTAAACACATACATGTAGTACTGTATATGTTGCTCCATGTGACTCGCTGTTGTTTTGCTGACTTTCACTGCCTCTTGCGGACTTTTTGCGGCATTTTCGCCTTTTTTTTTTTTTTTAAATGAATATGTTTGAAAAAATCCATGATGCACCGAGGCCGCGATAAACGAACCGCGAAATAGCGAGGGATCACTGTATTCATATTCCACCCACCAGGATCTTGTTGGAATCACTGAGTCGTCCTTTCAAGGCCAAAGGGAGCTCCCCGATGTTGGCTGTGATGAATTTTGCTTCTGAGATGATGGCTGCAACTTCATCAAGGCCCTCCTTTCTAGTCTTCCAGTTCTTATCTCCGATTTTAGAAACCAGATCAGAAGTGATTTTGTCGCTAAAAAGGTGGGACAAAAACAATGTTTACTTTTCACAGGCACTGATTTCAAAAGTATTGGCAAGGTATTCTAAGCATGCACAGAATGGCTGTCTCTTATTGAATCCCAACTTAAAGACAAGTAAACAACTTGCTTGCACTAACACTGTTGCTATTAATATCAGTAATTTAAGTGTTTCCATATGGTTTTAGGATGAAAAAAATACAAGTTGTCTTTTTGGTACTACTTCCAAATGGCAAACTTAAAATTTTCAGTAAGTCACCTAATCTCTGTTCTGGGCAGTAGGTCCATGATGTCCTGCCCTCCTACATCTTCGTCTTGCTCCTCTGCAATGTCACATTCATCCTCATTGCCAGTCTTCTTGGTGAATCTTGTTGGAGCTGGAGCTGACTGGCCTTGCATCTAGGATGCAGACATAGAAAAGAGAATCGAAGGTAGTTTATATGGTTCTCTTGTTCACAGGAACAGAAAAAGATGGTTACCATTGTGAGCATTACAAAAAGCAATTACCTTCTCAAATGCTGCATCTATTTGGGACAGGAGGGCTGGTTTCTCATCTTCAAAGAACATGCGGAGTGGAGCTCCCATGTAAAGATACATCACACCCAGGAGGGTAATTGCCGCTGTCCGAACAGCTGGGTTAGTCGCGCCGAGGGCTGTCTTCACATTGTTGATGAAACCTTTAACATTTATACTGAGAAGGAGAGGTTAAATGTCAGTTTTCTTGATGTTGTTTCCTTTAACTCCACTCTTGCTAAAGCCTCGTCCGTTTCTCAAGTCCAGTCAATTTTGTAGTCGGAATGGTTTAAGTGGAATATTACTGAAACAAATACAAAAATGTTTATTACCCAGTAAAGCCAAATTCCTTCATGGCATTAGCAAGCCAGTTGAGAGTTTCTGCCTGGTTCTTGGGGTTCTTTTGTGCAAACGCCAAAGACACAACCTGTAAAAATATATAACCAATGTAAATACTGTGTAGCCTTCATAAACCGACACTATCCTGTGGACCACTTTCTGGTCGGGCTGGGTGATTAATGAATACATTAGAGTTTTATGGTCTGATTATTTTTTGCCACTTCTGTAAGTTAAAGTGTGCCAACGCTGACATCCACTGCTTACGCCCCGATTTGACCCGATGACATGATTTTCAGCTGATCGGTAACAGCTAAAAAAAGGTCGGATTTCAAAATAAAACGACAGGCCCTTCGCACTGTATCCCATGTTCGTCTTTGTTTTTCATGTTTCTTGTGCAGAGCGTGCCTGTTAACTCCAATTACCCCATGGGGATGATTAACGTTTTCTGAATCTGAATCTGAATGTTCTTTATTTCACAAGTCAACAATGCGATTATTTTTATTTACTTGATTTGATCCAATGCTGCCTTATGGCTAGGTAAAAATGTATCATCTTGGGGTTAAAAAAAAAAAAAAGACGAGAATATTTGAATATGGTGGTCTTTTTCTTCATTGCAGCTAAAAAACATTTTTAAACATTTATGTGAGATGAAGTCTAGAAAGACCATTTAATTATTTCATTAAAAATATATATTTAACAAGCAGTGTTGCAGGAATTCCAGAAAAGACAAATTTTAATAAAATAATAAAATTTAAAAAGGCAATTTTATTTTTAATAAATGTCACTGTTAAAAATGCCCCTCCAATTAAGTGGCAAAACCAGGTGTCGTTTTTCTGTTAAACAGGGTTGTCAGCATCTGCCGAATAAAACAATTAATTAAGGTAATCTCACTTAGTTACTTTTAAAAACAAGCAATTAATCCAATAAGTTAATTTTATAACTTAACTGCGGCAACACTGGTCATTTTTGACGACTTAGCAATTTGGTCAATTAAATTTAGCAAGTTTTCCCGACAACTCTGATGACTATTTCGCCCAAATTGGGGGGGGGGATCTGGCGAGCTACTTCCTGTTATGAAGTCGACAAGAGCGGAATCGTTTTCAGTTTGTTTTGTGTTTGGCTGGTAAAAGGCAACCAGAGTCCATCACACCAAACACTGCCAAAGGAGGTCGCTTGCCTCATGAGAGGTGGAGGGTGTGCAGAATTTCTCTCTTTTGCATATGCACTAGCCATATGGAGTTTAATGATTCATTTTATTGTGTGCATTTGTTGAACAATTCAAATGTTTTGACAAAAGAGGCATTTTTCCCATATTACGTATTTATATTGCTCAACCCTACTTTCCATGTTGGAAAATATTTATTAATTAAGGTAAAAACCTGTTCGGCAGTCCATGGTAGCGAGCAGGCCTCCCCAATTGCAGTCATTCCTTCCTTGGCATTTCCACCACATTTGATATCGCCAACCTTATCCACCAAGCCATCCAAAACGATAGAGGCTGATGTCTTTGAAAACTGCCCCCTCTGAGCGATAAGGGCCACAATGTGCAGCTTCATCTGCATGACCTGAAGAAAGAGCAGCCCAAAACATTGGAATGAATGAGAATCACAAATACTCGACAATAGAAATGCTGCATCGTTTTGACAGGGTAAATTCATTTCATTTACATTCAAAAGTAATTCTGGTTAACATAATACAAAAGTTACCTGGAAGTTTGTCTCCTTCCAGCCTGGTTTCTTGGCCAACATCTTGACTAAGGCCTGACATGGCATAGCCATTTTATCCATAGTCTCGACAGCCTAGAAGGAAATATGAATCCATCAATTAACATTGCTTCCTCCATGGGGACTTATCTTTTCTCCCAGAGTGCAAAAACCTTCAAAACAAATAGTTATTAACCATAGACAATGATCACGTCAAGTCATTTGTTTGTGTCAATATGTGGTAAATGTGCTCAATTATGCAGAAAAACGGTCAGATTTCCGAAATAAAACAAAGACTACCCTCTGAAATTCCTCCATACTGGCGAGTCTCTCCTTCCAATTAGCTGAATCCAGCTGTTCAAGACAGGATGCAGGAAGCACTTCGGCTGCCCGCTCTTCACACACCTCAACCTGACATGAAAATGTGAACACCAACATGTCACTTGCAAGGGTCAAAGAGCAAAAGTGTCTCAATAACAAAATAGTACAAGTCATCACAACATGCAAAAATAAAAGCGTTCTTCAAAAAGTGCAAAAAGAATTGCCTAGCCGTTACCCCGGGGTTGATAGAATTTTAAGACAGAAAGCTTCTCTTCAATATTCACCACCTGCCTGACAGCTGGCTTACTTTTTTTGACTGCTTCATAAAAATATCACCATAGAAGCATTTTATATTGGCCAACAGATTTTGAATTGTTTTTCTTATTCTGTTTTACGATTGAAAGTAACTACACCCCCCCCAAAAAGGCTGAATTTAGGAAATTTAATTTTAACATACAATACGAGGATCATTCAATAAATAAGGTGAATTTTCAGTATGAGGACTTCTAATACATATAGAAGCTGAGATTTTTTTACACACTTTTCCCATCTGTGCACAAGCTTCTGTAACAATTAAATAACAGTCTTAACAAGTCTGGGTTACACTTCCATATTCCCCCAGCATAAAGGTCTTTGGACTGATGTCTCAGCCAGTCGCTGAACACACTTTTGCCTTCATCTTCACTTTCAAACTTCATCCCTCTCGTGAATGCTTTCAAAGGCACCAAAGAGGTGAAAGTCTGAAGGGGCAAAGTCTGGGCTGTAAGGAGAATGAGGGAGCAGTTCCCAGGCCAGCTCGTTGATGGTCTGCCCTGTTTTTTGCTGCTGTGTAAGGCCTTGCGTTGTCATGATGCAAGATGACTCCTGACTGATGACCCCTGCGTTTGTTCTTTACGTCTTTCTTGACCTGCCTCAGCAGTTCTCAGTAGTTGGCACGAAGTTTGAAAGTGATGATGAAGTCAAAAGTGCTGTGAGCGACTGGCTGAGACATCAGTCCAAAGATTTTTATGCTGTGGGAATATGGAAGCTTGTGCACAGTTGGGAAAAGTCAGTGACAGTGCTGGGAGACTATGTTGAAAAAGTAAGCTTCTATCTGTATTAGAAGTCCTACCGAAAAAAAAAAAAAATCACTAATCCATCTCCGGAATCCGAGAAGCCAAAAAGGCATCCCTTACCGCCGGTGACTGAAAATAAGATCAAGTTTAAGTTAAGTGCTTGAAAAACTGAACTATGGGGGTGTTCCTAGATAACATCAAAGCTGTTGTGAACATGCAATGCCAAAGAAAGACTCACCGACAGTTCACTTTCTGTGAAGTCTTTACTTTCCGTGTTCTTTTTGGGTTTCCCACTGGAAGCAGAAACTGCTTTGCCTTTCTTTGGTGGACCAGCAGTCTGTTACAGAAAGAGATTGAGAATCCATAGCTACTTTTCATACAGCTCAGTGGGGAATATGATTTAGATTGATTCAGTTCTCGTACATGTATCTAACTTTCAAGAAATTGTCATATTTACAATTAAAAAAAATAGTACATCATTATGAGCCAACAGTAGCGCATAACAAATAGTGATGTGCGTGTGTGTGTGTGTGTGTGTGTGTGTGTGTGTGTGTGTGTGGTGGGGAAGGGGTGTCACTTTCTTAACCCCCAAAAAGCACCACTCATAATTGAGTACTACCATCTCACAAAGTGCATTTTTTAACGATTCCAAGATCCAACTTTCATGATTAATGAACCAAAAAAATTGTGTTTCATTAGCACTTCCTGTACGTTACACATTCCATTTACAAAAGACCAAGGCACAATTTACAGCATGGGCAAATGTAATATAATTTGTCAATAATCTCTCACTGTGGTAAAAGTGATTTAATTTCTGTACTTCATGAACTACAATATAATTTAACTTTAAAACAGTGAAGACGTTACCTTGCTCATGGCTGCACCAGAAGTCTTCTTGGGCGGGGCAGAGGATTTAGTTTGGGCTTCAGCAGGAGGAGGTGCTTTAGAGGCTGCCTTCTTTTCTCCAGCTCCTCCCCCTCCTGCACCCTTCTTCCCTCCTGGAAGTTCGACTTTATCAGCGCACTCTTTTATCTGTCATCAACAACAGCAAGCGACAAGGCTACAGGGTCAAATATCGGAAACAGAGAGCTCTCTTTTAGTCAGACTGGTCATCATATTTTACCTTGTCAAGTTTTAGTTTATCCAAATCAGCTAGGTAAGGGTTCACGGCTTTCTCGCCCACCACTTTCATGGCTGTGCCCAAAGCTTCAAAGGCAGCATCACGCACTTCTGGAGCAGAGTCATTCACTTGCTGATGAAGAAAAAGACAAGTACAGATGAGGAGCGATTCAGACTTATTTTCTTCCCTTATATAATCAGGGATGACAATGGCTAGTGATGAAAAAAGCAGAAGGGGGGGGTGGCCTGGATGGGGGCGTGGCCACGTACAAAAGTGGCACTAAACATGAAGTGTATTCAATTTACACACTATTTGAAACTTGAACAGAAAAAATCCCAAGATTGTTCACTATTCTTTCAAGTGAAAATTTGTGCAATTTTGCTTATGCATTCCTGGTGAGCACCAATATGTAACTTCAAATTTGCTGCTCAAAATCAAAACTAAAAAAGGAAACAC